CAGAAACACAGCCTTCACAAATGAATGCTAGCTGTTGTCTGTGGTCTAAACTCAATAAGAAAGCACTTTAGATGGGATGAGGTCTGGTTGAAGTCCTGAGGGAGCAGGGTTTTAGCACTGCACAGCTAAAATTTCTCAGAACTTGACCAAGAAAATGAGAAAATTTTCAGGAGAGTCTTTTTGGTATGTTTGCATGCAGTTGTCTTCCTGATATTTTGACTGACATCCAAACCCAAAACCAGAATTCTAAAATGAATGCAAAATGTGAAGGAGATGGTTTACATCCTCGGATTCAGTCCTGTTGCTCTGATATCAGACACAGTTTTAGGTTTTATTATTTTAACAGCAAATTGCATAACAATCATACGGTATTTCAAACTGTAATTTGATGTTGTGAAAGAAGAATGAAGACCTCAAATTCGTGTGTAAAGGACACTCTGTTATGATTTGTAATATTAATACACTCTGTGATGAGAACAGACTCTGATTACACACAACACCTTTCATTCAAAAGGTATTGCAGCACCTCTTACTAAGAAACTCATCTAAATATTGGCAACACAGTAAATGAGTAAGCAAATGTAGCAGCCAGTATGAGCTGATTAACAGCTCACGTGCTCAGGCTCTGGGCATTCAAACCTGCTTAAATGAAGGAAAAATGGTTGTCCAGGGACCTAGGGGTTCACTGTTTTTTTTTTCCCCACATTCACTGAACAAAATCCAAATGGAGATTAATGATCCCAGGATATCAATAACTGAAGACCTGCAAGACGAACTCTATTGGGACTTCTCATTCTAAAATATCATCCAGAAATAAAAAGAAAAAAGCTAACTGTAAGGCATGCCATGATATTGTTGGGTAGGACTTACTGGATGACTTGCTATTTGTCAAGCAGTGGAAGAGATATATGAGCTAGAAATTAGAAACCTTCAAGGTACTTTTAAGGCAATTTCAGTTAGTTTAAAAGTTTTTCTGTCCTTTTGCATTTCAGAATAATCCATTTCACAATCAAATGTTCTCTTTCAGCAATATTTTGAGAAGAGGAAATATGTTAAATGTCAAAAGAGTGGGGTTGAGAACCCTGCCCCTGTCCCTCAACTTTCCAGTGGATGTATCTGAAATACAACCTTCCATTTCCCATCTGCTAGGACCAGTACAGGACACAGGGATCATACACACAAATAAAAAAACAGAAAACTGGTCAGGAAAGATCTTTCGCAATAGCAAACAGACTATTTCTCATTTTAAAGTTTGGCTTGTATTTGCCAAATAAGACCCGATTTGAAAATTTTCCTTGTTTGTTGACAGCTTTTTAAAGGCATTCACTCCTGTATGAAGTTGCAGAATACATTCCAGGAGATCCTGAAGAAGCAGCCTGCTTCCAGTTTCCTACAAACTACTGCTGCCACAGGAGTTGAGCAAAGCTTGAGCTGTTTAGGTTTCTCTACCAGTTCTAAGGGGTCAGCAGCCCTCTGCCCCTCCCTCGCAGTTGTCATTAAACTCTTATTATTCCCCTTTTGTGCAGCCTGTTCTCATAGGAGACACAAGGAAGCATTAGACTAAAACCAAAGGTATTTTCAAAACCATATAGTTCTGGTTGACTTATTTTCTCGCTGCACTGAATGCTGAGCTATCTTTGACTTTTTGCAAGAACATATCCACACCGAGGACAAGTGGTTTTGAAAATATAATGAACTGTGTTTTCTCTACAAAATACTGGAATTTTTTCTCTCTTTTCAAAGCAGAACCACTTCTTAGTGATGCAGAATTAGTATGATTTCCCATTGGCACTGGCATCTGCTTGTAAATCCCTGTTATTAGCCATGTTGGTGTGATCCAAAAATTGAACTTGCCAGTCCAGTCTGTGCCATGTCAGTCACTGAGATTTTCCCGAATTAGAAGTGCTCTTTTTCTCATGAGCAGCAATCTGAAAGAGGATGATAGATAATAAAACATTGCCAAAGTTACTGAGCCATTTTATCCAGCCCAGGGTGGATATTCTGTCTCTTTCATGAGAGTCTAGGCTATAGTTATTAACCATGTCAGTGATTTAATATAATTGACACCTTTAGTCACTCTCTTGTGTTCTACATAGAACAGAGTGCAGGCTGAGCTATCTCTCATTCTATATCAGAATACATACCATGTCTTGGAGATGTGCAGGTAACTCTCAAGAAACAGCGACAGGATAAGAAGCAACGACCTCAAGTTGTGCCATAGAAGGTTCAGGTTGGGTACTAGGAAACATTTCTTCTCAGCAAGAGTGGTGATGCAGTGGCACAGGCTGCCCAGGGAGGTGGTGCAGTCACCGTCCCTGGAGGTGTTCAGGAGCCGTGTGGATGTGGCACTGAGGGATGTGATCAGTGGGCATGGTGGGGGTGGGCTGATGGTTGGACTGGGTGATCTTAGAGGTCTTTTCCAACCTTAATAAATCTGTGATTCTATGACTCTTTATATGCAAAATGCAAGAAATGTAGAATTAGTGTCCTAGTGGGTATTCTCAGTGGTGAGAAGCACCAAATGGGCTCTGAGTTACTCAGTGAGAAGGAGAGGCAGGCTGACTGGGAGCTGTAATGCTGACGTTTGAATTTCCATTGGACTTCAGCATGCAGTGCAATTCCTCCGAGAAGTTAATTTCTGGAACAATTGTTAGACAGACTGGAGAGGAATACAAAATAAACAAATCTAAATTATTTCAATTTTGGATCTCAACTACACATTTTTAGCCTTGTTGCTAGGTGGGAGTCATTCTCCTATTACATCTTTTTGTCTTTTTTTTTTTCAGCACAACTCAGTTCCAGACACATATGTTTGTTTTATAGTGAAACATTTTGAGATTCGCAGAACTTTTAAAATTGAGATTTCAAAAACAATTTGAGAACGTCAGCTAGGGCAAGCATGGAGGATGTTATGGGCCCTCCATGTACAAAAACATTCTTTAATTTTCTTGACTGGGACTTGTGAACTCCTGATCACAGGTGAGCAGCCCTGCATTCTCCTTGCTGAGTCTCATGCCATGACTGCACAGGGAGATGCAGGATTAGGATGTGTCCCTCACAGGCTTGTAGAAAGCCAGGCTAGCAACCACACCACAGAAAGGTCTGTAATGGAACAAGTAGCTGGAGATGTTGCCTTCCCAGCACCACATCCTTCTGGATTTCCTTCAGTCTCCAGATGTTGTGCACCACTGCCTCATCACCACTGATCTGTAGGAGCTGGGAGATGATTATTCCTCTATACTCTGCGCTGGTGAGGCTGCACCTCAAGTACTCTTCTCAGTTTTGGGCTCCACGCTACAAGAAAGACATTGAGGCCCTGGATCATGTTCTGAGAGGGGCAATAGAGCTGTAAAGGGTCTGGAGCACAAGTCTGATGGGGAGCGGCTGAGGGAACTGATATTCTTCAGTCTGGAAAAGAGGCTCAGGGGAGATATCACTGCTCTCTTCAGCCACCTGACAGGAGGCTGTGGTGAGGTGGGGGTTGGCCTCTTCTCCTGGCTAACAGTGATAGGATGAGAGGGAATGGCCTTAAGTTGCACCAGGTGAGGTTCAGGTTGGGTATTTGAAAATATTTCTTCTCAGCAAGAGTGGTGAGGCAGTGGCACAGGCTGCACAGGGAGGTGGTGCATCACCGTCCCTGGAGGTGTTCAAGAGCCGTGTGGATGTGGCACTGAAGGATGTAGGCAGTGGGCATGGTGGGGGTGGGATGGTGGTTGGACTGGGTGATCTTAGTGGTCTTTTCCAACCTTAATGATTCTATGATTCCACACCTGGACGTGCAGAAGGGAGTAATGTGCCTCCTTTCCAAGCTTTGCCCCCCAAGGAGACTTTCAGAACCAAATGAAATCAAAAAGCAGCAGGAACTGCACGGCTGACAGCATGGGGAAAACAGAAGAGGAGAATCTTCCAGTCTCGCGGGGGGACCCCCGCGGGAATATGTAGCACAGAGGGGCGGGCAGCAGTTCTAGTTTCGTCCTGTTCTTGTGCCTATCCCTTATCCCTGTCCCTGTCCCTATCCCTATCCCTGTCCCTGTCCCTGTTCTTATCGCAGCGCAGCACGGGTCCGACGGTGACGGGGAGCAGCAGGACGGTTCCTCCTGCGCCTCTGTGCCCGTTCCCCCCCCAGCGCGTGCCGCCCGTCCCGCTCGTCCCCGGAGCCGCCCCGCCCCGCGGGAGGAGCCTCCCCTTCCCCTCCCGCCCCGTCCCTCCCTCCCGGTGGCGGCGGGGGGCGAGGGCAGCGGGGCGGCGGGAGCCGCGGGCAGCGCAGCGTAGCGCGGAGGCGGCGGCGGGAGCGCGGGCGGCCGGCGCGGAGCCCCCGCGCCATGGGCGGGCGGCGCGGAGCGGCGGCGCGCAGCCGGCCCCGCCGGGGGTAGCCGCCCGCGCCCCGCACCGCGGACCCGGCATGAACTGAGGATGGCGAGCGCCTTCGGCCCGCGGTGGCCCCGGCGAGCGGCTCCGGGTGGTGGCAGCGGCGGCGGCGGGGGGCTCCTCTTCGTGCTGCTGTGCGCCTCGGCGGGCCTGCCCCTCAGCGGGCAGCAAGTGCTGCGGATCGGTGAGTGCCGCCCGCGGGCACCGCCGCCGGGAGCGGGACTCCCCGCTCAGCGGCTGCGAGCCGTGCGCGGGTGCGGGGTCGGGAGCGGGGCGCTGCCCCCGGCGGAGCGGCTTCGGGCGGGCTCTCGCTCGCCGCCGCCACTTCGGAAAGTTTGCCCCGGTGCCCGGTGCGGGGGGAGCGGGAACGGGAGCCTCTGTCCAACGCCGCGGGGACCGCGAATAGCGGCTCGGAGAGCTTGAAAAGTGGCGAGATCTCCCGGGTCGGAGCTGCACCGCGCGCTGCGACCTTCTGCCGTTTGCTCCCGTCCTCCTTTCCGAAGGGGGAAACGTTTTCCCTCCTTCGTTCTTAGCTCCTGACCCTGGAACGGGGGAAGCGCTCCCGAAGTGCTATCCGTACGCGTTAGCCCCAGCAAACAGAGATTTGTTTTTTAAAGGGAAAAGTCCGCACCATGGAAACCCTGCAGGGCTCGCAGGAAGCCGCTCTCCCGACAGTGGGCTTCTTGTGTCCGTCAGTGAGACGGTGAATACAAAGTATCGCAGGAGTTAGGGGTGAGGAGCAACTGTGCTGTCGGCTGTAGGCAGGAGATACCGCTCTTCTCTTTCTCTATCCCTTTTGGCTGTCTCTCTTAGCAAGTGCTGAACGTGTAAGGAGTAAAGAGAAAAATCGTTGGCACCGCTCGGGGGGATGCACTGGGTAAGGCACAGCCCTCAAGTGCTAACCCCACGCACGAGCTCTCCTCTAAAAACCCAGTGGAAGGCTGCTCCCAGTTCGGAGAGCTCATCATGGATTAGATAGGAATAAATGAAGGGGCTCAGTCCCTCAAAACACCGAGAAAGAGCAATCTGAAGGCACCCAGCAACTTGCAGCTGAAAATCTGAAATGTGTCTGGAGCTGTCTGCGTGCGGAGAGTGTGCTCTCCTTCTTTCTCATGGGGTGCAGCTGAAGTTTGCTGCTCTCTCTGCTCCCCACCACAGAGCTGTGCCCTGTGTAGAGGCAACATGTACACACACAGTGCAGGTGAGATGCGAAGTGAATTCAGGGCTAGTGGAACTCATGGGAGAAAGTGTGCTCAAATAACTCAGGCACGTGCTGTGGCTTTGCAAATACATTGCATGGCTGCTGCTGCGAGGCAGCCTTAACTTCCTTGTCTTTACTGGAAATAGCTTCTGAGGTAACTGGAGCATTTTAGAGTTTGAACAAATGTGTATTCGCTTGAATGTAGGCGAAATGCTTAGCTCTGTGCAGGATGGAGCCCTGGCTTCACAATTGGCATCAGCTCTGCAAGGACCAGGCAAAGGTTTAGAGTGTGCTCTCTTCACCATGTTCACCCCTCTGCTGCACAAAGTGCTTTGCTGTGTTCAGTCTAGCGAGGCTCCCAAGCAATTGCCCCACATTGCTTTTCCCTTACGTAGCCCTGCACAACTTGTGGGCTCTCTGCTCTCTGAAATATGTGTCCGTCTGGTGCAAGTTCACTCAGTGATGAGCGCAGCAATGGTGCCCTAATGCTGTCTATGGTCATATGACAATAAGTGAGACAAATTGCTAAGCTTTCAATCACAGCAGCAAATACACATCCAGAGTGATGCTGCCTGAGAATGAATGTTCCTTATGTGGTTGTGAACGCATAAAATATTCAATGTACTTATTGCTATAGTTATCCTGCCTATAAAGTAATGATGTCATCAAATATTAATCCTTCACATTTGCTAACAGGGGCAAGTCTCTCTGTCACTCTTCAAAGACACACAGAAGTAATGGAAATAACTCCTTCTATGCTCTTTGTGATAACATAATAAAATCATTCCAAAGCATTTCTGACTGAGGAAAATGCCATTAAGCCATCAGATTTTCTTTGTCGTGTTTTAGTTAATTAAGAAAAAGAAAGCACTGCCATACAATGTGCTGCAGTTTGCTGCCTGAATTAATACACTGTATTTAATTGCATTTGTACTATTAGGGAGCTTTTGGATTTTTTTGATTTTGTCGGCTTATGATACAAATGAACGGATTCTTTTGCTGGCATTTAATTAGTTGTGAAGGGAAATTCTGGCTATTTCTCAGCATCTAGGTGATGATTACTTTCCTATTTCTCTAAACAAGAAAATGAACAGTAAAATTGATCCATTAGGAGAAAATAGCGGAATCTGAGATAAGATACAGTTTCAGTTTCACACAATACAATACTTTAGTGTCTTACTATTTCTTTCACGTTCATGCTAAAAAGCTTTTTCCTTGATATATGAACTAATAGAGCTGTCCAAGGAAATACTGTCTTTATCTACACATAACCCACTAGACTACATTATGTGAAAGTATATTTAAAGTTCACAACCCTAATATTTTTGACTTAATACTGGGGAATTTCTAGCGTTTGCACTGAGTCAACCTAACCCTCTTGCCTGCCCTACTTGTACCGCTTGTATAAAATGAACCAACTCAAATATGGGAAGGGAGAATGCAAATTAAGACGAGCAGGCACTAAGTTGCAGAAACAGTCTCAAAAGCACTGAAATCTCATCAGCCACAAAACCTGATGTTAACGCTGGAGGCAGAGCGTTATTTTTTAGCGCACATCCTTTGGACCATTGCAACTTCTAACCTAACGAAGCTATAAGAATATACTTCAGCATTATTGCAGAGTAATTAATGAAGAGTAGCTGTTTAGGCAACACTCTGGATTAGAAGTAAAGAATATTTGAGAAACTACACCAGTTATTAAAATATTGCTGGAGTTAATTAAAAAAAGAACATGGCACTTTGCAACAGATACTCGTAGGAAGTTAAACTTGGATGAAACTTGGAATTAATCTCTAAAATTAACTCCTGAAATGAGCACATGAGTAATTCTTAGGTTTCATAGAAATTGCATTAGTTGATGAAATAGACACATTTCAGCTGATACCAAAAGTAATTTTCAGTAATATTTGGTATGTTTCTGTAGTTAATTGGAATATTTAAATATGGGTTTTGACTCTGCACTGATTTATTCCTTACTTCAGCAAAACTCCCAGTGGTTTTGTGAGCTGTGTTTTCAAAGATGGAGGATTAGCCCCGTAATATTTCTCTCTGATTGAGAAATGTAGATTTAAAACAGACACACGTAACTTACCCCGCAAAATACGGTTTTCCTCATAAGTTGAAATTTTTAGTGTAGCTTTCAACAGATCTGTCTGTATTTCCCCAAGCAGGGCTGGAGCTTTTTTCTGTATAAGATTTGCATTTCTACAGTGTGAGAATGATAAAGACGAGAGCCTAATTAATTTCACTGGAAATTTGCTGCTTCTTGTCAACCTTTTTCAAGACTTTATTTGTGAAGGGAATTATATTAATACACATTTGAACTTCTTCAGTGTGACATGGAAAAAAACTGTAGAAAGTTCTGTCGTATTTTAATGTCATTAAAATGTTAATTAAAAAGAAACTATTTCTTATTAGATGTCTACATGGTATTGTGTTCCATCATGTCGTAGGCAGTGTGACTGCATTTTATATCATTAGATGATCAGACATTAACTGCACATTGTTAACCAGATCCCAAAATGCTCTGTGGCTCATCATTTCACTATAATATATTTTACTTAAATTTCCTCATTCTGCACTTAACAGAAGACTATTTTGCCATAAGTATTTCTGAAGGATTGCTACCAAAATGTCCCAGCAAAAGTTACTAGGCATCTCCCTTCTCACTGGATTTGGGAGCACTGCACAAAAAGTGTGAGACAGTGCAACATTTGGCTCGTGCTCTAAATGGTTAATCAAGTCAAAAATACCCTATAAAAGGCAAATGAAAAATGCATTGCCAGCATCTTAGCAGAGCACTCCAGCACGTCTGTGCTTGTGCACAAAAAGGTTGGTGGAGCTCAATGCATACAGTGATCTTGGGGAAAACACTTGACTGCATTATGATTTGCGTGGTTGCATCCTGAAATTATAAAAATGAAAATCTTATTGGCAGTTTCTTTGTGTTCTGCCATTTAGGCTTGAAGATGCAGAGGGATGAATTACTTTGGGTTCTATACCATTGTATTTCAAGGCTTTTTTTACCATGGAAGATGCTTGCTGTGCTGGGTTGCTCCACCGGGGTGTATTAAAAAGTCATGAAGCCATGCTCAGCTGATGTACATTGACATCCTTTTATTGAACTCAAGGGAGCCATGCTGGTTTAAATTGCCTGAAGAGCTGGCTGGACATATTTAATATATGAGAGACAAAACTTCTGTAATTCCCCCAGCTGCCCTGCCTACTTACCACCCTTCCTAATGATGGGTAGGGTCAGACAAAATCAAACCCCACGTGTCTTGTTTCTCTTGTTTTCTGCCCATGAATTCTGCAAGCTTGGTAACCACAGCTAAGCAATGGTGGTCACTGAGTGCCTGCAGCTTACTGCAGTGACCATTGCTCCATCAGCTCTTGGTACCTCAGTAGCAGTGTTTGCTGGATGACTGTGCTGCTGCTGGAAAATCATTGTTACTGGGATGGCGTAAAGCACTGCTCAGTACGTGAAGAAATCTAGAGATGTTGGCTTTCCAGAAAGCAGAAGGTGTATGTCTCCGTTGTCAGAATATACCTAAATATCTGCTTTAACATGAAATAGATGAGGCTGTAAAATCAAAAATTATAGTCTTAAAATAGTCTATAATACTGTAGCTTGATGACTATGCAGCAGGCAGCCACTCCCAGCCGTACTAACAAAAACGCCAGATGTGTTGCTTCTGTCCTGAAACATTTGTCAGAAAAGATTAATGGAGAATGGCAAAGAAAAGGTCCTGAGACTGGAGTTGGGATGGTATAGTCAGCACTGATGGTGATGAAAAACAATTAAAAAAATATGGCATGAAGGTGCGTTACTGCTGCATTTCACATTTTGGGAGATATGTGATTAGCAATGGCAAATTTTGCATATATATCTTAGTCAAGAGTCAAGTGAGTTACAGAAAAATGAAATGGAAAACAGCCAGGGCTGTTTTTGTTCCACTGACGTCCGTGCTGTAATAATTTGTTACTTTCTCTTAACTTCCACAAGGTGTGTACCCTAATGTGCAAAGTATGTCTGTGGTGCTGCAGTGAGCTCTATGTGGGCAAATAAATAGGGTATCCTGCTGTGTTTCACCAAGGCTTCAAATGCATTTATGTAACATATGTGCATCAGTTCAGACCGCTGGGACTTCAGTAAAATAAAGGATGAAATCTTCACAACAATGAAATCAATGAAATTTTGCAGAAGGATAATAGTTTTCCATCAAATATTTTTATTTATGCAAGATGTTTGACTCTTAACCTAGTTAATAATTCATGCTCAGTACAGGTGAACACCGCAGGAAGAACAATCATTATAAATAAAATAAAATTTTGGGGGGTTTCTCTTCTTGTCTAATAGCTTATTTCTGTTCAGGTATAATGAATTTCTTTTTGAATTCCTGCATCCTTCCCACAGCACTAAATTTTGTATATTTAGCATTAGTTCTTGCTGTCACTATAAGCTCCTCCATATGGCCCAGTCTTAACGTTTTCGATTCAGA